AGCACGCACCCTGCATGCCCCCAGCACACATGTCCGGTACTCACAGAAAGGTCCCGATCTCCTCTTTCAATCGAGACCTCTCAAGGACATGTGACCGCCGTGGGCTAAACCAAGCCCCGCCTCCCGACTTCTGAAACCCTTAAAGGGCCAAAAGGCATCGACGCCAAGGGGTTAAAGTTAAGTCTGATTTAGTAAAAATAAGTAGAATGCAAATAATGTAGGTCATAACAACCTATCAGAAATGTTTCACTCCACTAGAGTGCAATCTAAGTAGTTGGGGTTTGTTTCAGTACAATGTATATTTGAATTTGATCTTGCTCTACTTTACTGAATAAGCCTGAAAGTTGAGAACTATGCTAGGTACCGGTATTACCAATTGTGGGATAAACATGACTGAAACTAGCAAATATAGTAACATGCATAACGTGTCTTATTTATTTTATCTATTACTGTCAAGGCTTTTTTTTCTCAAAAAATAGGTGCAGGAACTCCCCCCTTTTGAGTCACTTTTTTTCTCCACCCCCATGCTCACCTCCCAGTACCGCTCCTGTTAGAGAACACAATAGCCAAATATCATTTTGTGATGCTAAATAATTTGTATGAAATTTGTTAATGATAACAAGAAAAGCAGAACAATAGATCCCCCACAGCCAGCAACAGAGACCCCATCAGCAACAATAGATTCATCTAGCAACAATGAACCCTCAAAACAAAATACCACCCCCAACAGCTACAACATATCACCCAGAAGTCAGCAACAATCCACAATAGACCACTCCTTCACCAGTAGATCCCTTCCAGCAACAACTGATCCCCCTCCAGAAACAGTAGACCACCACACAAAAATAGTTGGCCTTCAGTGACAATAGATCCCCAGCATCCAGCAACAATAGATCTTCCAGCACACCCCAGCACCCCTTGAAATTGCATACATTCAGTGCTGATGGTGCCTGAACTGCGGTTCCCCAAGTTCCTGCTGAAAAAAAGCCCTGAATACTGGTAATTAAATTGTTATGTTCATGCTAAATTAATTTAGCTAATGATTAGAAACACATCTAAAACACATTCATTAATTTCTTGCAGAAGTATTGGATGTGATTTGTAGACAATGAAAGGATTAACTGCCATCCAGGATTGATCTTTTATGTTTATTAAAAGTCCCCAAGTTTGTGTTTTAGATGTGTTTCTAATCATTAGCTAAATTAATTTAGCATGAACCTAAAAATATATATATATATATATATATATATATATATATACAGTATGTGTTCAGCTGGATTTTTTTTCGAGTTAAGCTTTAAAAAAAACCAATGGTACCAATAAGTAGTCATTTGATTATTGTAAAATAGTAGGACAGTTAATTAATTTAATTATTGAAACTCAACAAAAGTTGAGTAAAGATAAAAAGGTACGTGTTTAAATAAGCAGACCTAAACTATGAATCCCTTAAACAAAAAAAAAGTCCCCAGTTCTTACCTAACATTTAATCTAAGATTGGTCCACCTACAGGTTCTGTCTGTAGATGTGGCTGGGAACCCATATGACTGCTATCACCAGACTGGGACTGTGCCACTATTTTATTGGTTGAAACTAATGTGAATCTTCCAGTCATTCATATAGCTGTGATCCCAGCACTGTGCAAGAAACTTTGCTGGTATACTTCAGAAGAATTAGACCACTGTTTCTTTATGATGCTCAGCCATTATTTGCTGAATACTATCAAATCAGGTTAAAGAGACAACTCTATGATGCTTATTTACTAAAACTGCATGGTGCACAATAAGGTGCAGCTCTGCATAGAATCCAATCAGCTTCCATATTTTATTGTCAAAGTTTAAATGAACAAGCTTAAGTTTGAAGCTTATTGGCAACCATGCACAGCTGCATCGGTTTTAGTAAATCACCCTCAATGAGTAGCCATCCTTAGCAGAACATCTCTAACAGGTTTCATAAAGCCATGTACTGTAGATAGTTTCAGAGAAAACAATACTTTTAAAACTGTAAAATGATGTAACAAAAGTAGTTAGGATCCCAGAACAATTGAAACTGGGAGAGTACTTAATGATGAAGTTATAAGGGGATGGTGAGTCAGAAATAATTAACAAAGGCATTATGAATATAATTTTGAATATATATAGGAAACCAAGACAGTACAAGGGTGGTACAATTCCTGGTACCTGGCAGAGGCATTTAAAATAAAAAAAGATTCTCATGCCAAAGAATTGATATAGAAATGATCCTTTGATGCATTAATGAATATTTCTCTGTTATTCATCCTCTAATTGTTTTTTCCTCCTTATTTTAGTCTGGCATACAGTCAACACAGCTTTCCACTGATTTCTCTGCTCTTACCACCCTACCAGACCCTCCTTGTTCCCGTTGTCACCACTTGTCCAGTAAAACACCACCACAAGCATGACAACCAAAATATCTCATCACTCAGAGTTTGGAAAACTGGCATATCAACTCTGCAGAGGCAGTCCTGTTGCTGTGAAGGGTGTACTGGTGAGTGAGTAGTAAGGGAAAACTCATTGCAAGTAATTTTTCCTATGCCTGTCCTCTCACCACTCTGCCAGCCCCAGCTGGTGCTGTACTGAAGGAGGAGAAGCAAGATATTGGCTAGGATGCATTACAGGGCAACCTGATCATTGCTACCTATGAGACAGTTTAGAGTAGGATTGTGGGTATTGGCTATCTTTGACGGTAAAATCTGTTCCTATGCAAAACCCCGGAAGCCGTTGTAAAATCTGAAAATGAAGATCTTTGATTTTTTTCTTAATTGGTTCAAATGCAAACATTATTCTGTTTAACATAGTCTTCTTGTTTATTACATTTTGTCCATTGGAGCCATGCACTATTGTATTTCATATTAACATCACTTAAGCAGCCCACAGAGTTTGCGATTTTCTTTCCTTCCACCACGTAAGGTAGGAAAGAAAATTGCTTGGTTCCCTCATCAATTCTGTGATTGTTCTTGGGGGAATTCCTCCTGTGTGCTATTGTGCTCTGCCATCGGGTAGCCCACCCCTCTGGAAGAACACAGTTATAACTGCTGGTGGCTGGTAGCTGTCAGCAATGATCGCATGAAAAAACATTTGACAGGCTGGTTGTACTGAATTCGATCGATGGATTGTTTCAGCACAACCAGCCTGACCATAGATGGAGCGAATCTCAGCTGGTCCTTGCTGAACCAGCCAAGACTGGCTAAGTTAGCTTAACAATAGGTACACAAGAGATTAGTACCACACTAATGTGTACCACACCCCACTTGCTACTTTGGCTATACATTTCTCTATCCCTATTATCTTAAGGCCCCTTGGGCATTCCTTATGTCCGTTTTTCATCTGTCTGTTTACAGATGGAAAATGAACACTCACATAATTCTATGGACTAGCAGATGTAAACAAATGATCATCCGTTTATATCCGTTAATATCCGCATCCATTAACATCCATTTTTTTTTTAATGAAAGAAAACCCTATTTTTTGTCCATTAAAAAAAACAGAATGGATGAAATAATTATGTAAACGAACAATAATGGATGTAAATGGATGAAAAAAGGATGTAAATGGACAAAAACAGACAAAAAAAAATGATGAAAACGGATGTAAATGGACAAAAAATGGATGTAAACAGATGAAAAACCAATGTAAATGGATGAAAATTGATGTAAATTGATAAAAAAAAACGGATGAAAAACAGATGTAAACTGATAAAAAACTGATGTGAATTGATGAAAAACTGATGTAAACTAATGAAAAACTGATGTGAACTGATCTGTTTTTTCTTGGAAAAAACATGACTGAACTGATGTTTTTTCACGGAATGCCCGTGTGAAAGGGGCCTTATATTCATTGCCTGTTTTGTTGTTACAGACTATTTTATAATCCAGTATTCTTTTATTGGAATAAGTAAGCAGGCTGGTAGAACCTGTTTGAAGAAATAGCCTTTCTGAGCTGCCAAAATCAGATTTTGACATTTATAAGCATTGCATTACTAAGTAAAACAATTTACCACTGATTGTATTAATTGAGCATACAAGTCTATCTTGCATTTACTGTCAGTAATTGCCACATTATGTTATAAGTACCTAGCTGTACACTTTGTTTTTAACTTTTTGCGACCATTTAAAAGGAACTTTTTAAGACATAAATATGAAAATTGCCATTGCTGACTTGGAGAAGTGAAGGTGTGTTAAAGCTTTGCTTTACTGCTAAGTGAGTCATTGACTCAGAACAAGCATTATCTATGAGGCCCTTGAGCTGTGTGTTACAGACCTTTTTGTTTTTTTGTGACAGACTGGTATCCAATGAAAGTGACCCAACATTCCAAATGTAGTTATTACAGCTTAAAACAAAAAGTAAGAAGCAAAATACTGTGCCTACCAATGGATCTGATGCTTAGAGCTTAGCAGATCAAAGTGTTGCAGCAGACTGAGAGCAATGGTGGAGCAGATTTGTAAAAATGATTGTTAGTTCATCTCCAATGCTTTCACATCCAAGCAGGGGTGGATTGACAACTCATGGGGCCCCCGGGCAATAGGGGATCATGGGGCCCCTGTGTCCTTGCCCAAACTCAAAAAAGCCTATGAAAAAGGTACCAGGGGCATCTCATGGGGCCCCCTACTGACCCCGGGCCCTCGGGCAGTGCCCGAGTTTCCAAATGGTTAGTCCGCCCCTGCATCCAAGCCATTCTGCCATAGATAAGGTGTAATCAACTTGATGATGAACTAGCGAATAGAATGCTTGAAGATGGTCTTGTTTTGGTCTACAAATCTAACTTGATCTGTGTTGATTATAGCGTTGCCAAGATTTTGTAATCAACTCAAAGCAAAAGTGGAATTTGTTTGAATTATAATAAAAAAGAGCCTTTGAGCCACCTCCTAAGAATTTTTAAAAATGAATTATATACCCACGTAAAAGCATGAAACCCCAACAAGAAAATAATAAATGTGTCTCAAACTTTAGAGGGAGACATTACACTTAAATCGTATTATATCATAGTACAGGGCTTGAAATTTCCACTCACCTGCTCGCCAATGGCAAGTGGAAATCATGGTGGGGGCGAGTGTGTCCCCCAGGGCCAACTTGCTGAGCAGGCTCGGAGCTCAGGCTGGATCTGTCATTGACACTGGGAGCTGTCAGACTGCTCAATAGCTGAGCGCAGTGAAAGCAAAGGAAGGAGTGTGTGCTGTGCTCTCTGCCTCCCCCTAGAGTGCAGTACCTGGGTCTGTGAGTGAACAACGAAGTACTGCAACTTTTTATGGGTGTGTGTGTGTACGTGTACATGTGTGTGTGTTTGTGTGTGTCTGTGTATGCATGTACATGTGTCTGTGTGTATGTACATGTGTGTATCTGTACATGTGTCTGTGTGTATACATGTGTCTGTGTGTGTGTACATGTGTCTGTGTGTGTGTACATGTGTCTGTGTGTGTGTGCATGTACATGTGTGTGTTTGTGTGTATGTACGTACATGTGTCTGTGTGTGCACGTGTCTGTGTATGTATGTACATGTGTCTGTGCGTGTGTATTTCTTTGTATGTACATGTATCTGTGTGTATGTGTGTCTGTACGTGCCTGTGTGTATACATGTGTCTGTATGTATGTGTGTGTGTGTACATGTGTCTCTGTGTGTGTGTGTACATGTTTCTGTGTGTGTATGTGTGTGTGTGTACATGTCTGTGTACAGATGTCTCTGTTTGTGTGTGTTTGTTGGTGGCGAGTAACTCTTAAGGCCTGGTTAGTAGCTCAGGACTTGAAATATTAAGCCCCGTCATAGTATATTTCCTTATATTATAGTACATACCCTGATAAATTAAATGCTATGTTATATTAGATATTGATATGAATTTGAAATAACCCTAATTATAGGAAAGTAAGCAAGTAAAAAGATAGCATAATAAACACATACTGTATGTTTGGGACAAGACCAGAAGATGTGGTTTAGCATCCCCCACTCCTCCTGGCATCTCCAACAGCAATCAGAGGCCCTGGGAAAACAACTTTGAAGAATCGATGGCGTACCATCTTGTTAAAAGCTTAAAGTTGCCTTCCTGGACATGTGTGCAAATTGAGGATTTTAAGGTCAAATGAATAATGTTCTGACTTTGATCAGGTGTAAAAGTCCTGCCAAGATCTGCTTCCCATGGATACAAGACAAAGCAAAGTCACCCGGCAGGGTGATCAAAAGGGAGTACATCTTGGAAAGTGTGTTAAAAAGAATACCACTATCCATAAAAAGCACCTCAAATGTCAGCAGTGAGCAGCAATATTGTGTAGGGGGCCCTAGAGAACAAAAGAAACTGCAGAGCTTTCCAAAAATCTAGCGCATACAGTAACAACCTTCCGAATGCGATGACAATGTAGGCCAAGCATTGGAAGTAAGAAAGTGGGAGGCCTGAAAGTAGTTGTAATCCAGCAATGAGCGGGATAGTCCACAATCAGGGCCCGGGGAGAAGCATGGATTGCCCAAGATTGAGTAAAGCGGAATACAAAATCTCTTATCCAAAGACATATTATCCATTTTATTCCAATATATTTAAACAGTTACAAGTAAGTGCTGCTCAGCAAGAATTTTTTAACTGTGATCATTTAAAATAATCTCCTGGAACAATGTTACAAACTGTTGATAAGGTACTTTCCTCTATGCTACAGCAAACATAAATATTTTTCCTGCTAAAAAGTATTAAAAATTACTTGTCACTAGTGATTATTGTCATTTTTTTCTAGGTGTTGGATTTACTATGGTGATTATATCAACTCTTGTATCTATATACTACAATGTCATCATTGCTTACAGCTTATTTTATTTATTTTCTTCATTTCGAAGCTATCTGCCATGGAATGATTGCTATGAATGGGCAGATAGTAGATGTCAAGGCACTGTAAATGGTAAGTAGGCTTATTGATTACCGTATATAATATGCTTGTATAAATCATGAAAATTCAGATGAGAACTGAAAGTTTTCTTTTACAGGTTTTTGCAACGTCACTTTGGACAATGCTACAATTACTATGAATATGTCCTCAGTACATGAACAAAATTTGACTTGTATTTCAGACAACACAACAGAGTTACCAAGCAAGCAATACTGGGAGTACGTTTAGTGGATAGGTTTTTTGTGTAGAGGTTGGTCAGGTGACAGTAAAATTCATCAGATGAATGGCAATTAGTATAATCTGAGAAACCTGTCCTTTTCTCTCGCCCCAAAGTCCCATTTTACTTTTATTCATGTGTGATATTTATACCTTGCCATTTCTATAATAAACTTGATCAAGACACAACCTAAGAAGTTGGCTAGGCCCCCAGCCAAAGATACTGGGAAGACCAGAGCTATGGTGTTGCCAGATTAGGAAGAACTGAGTTGGAATTCTTAACAGGTATTTTAATTGTCCGATACCCGCCTATAAAATATGGTACTATTAAATGTCTGTAACAGACTTTCCTACAAATTTCTGTTGCAAATAGGCCAATTCCAGTCAGAACTGATTTCCCTCAGTTTCTGTCCTAAAACAGTTGATATATTTTTTAACGGTATGCAAAACTTAAAGCAGAACAATACTCACCTCAGCTCCAGCGATGTGGCCTCCTCTAATTCCTCATCTGGCAGCTGGCATCTTCTGGTGGCCATCTTCCATGTCTCAATCGCCCTCCACTGTCATTGACCCAGTGGGGATAACATCACTCCTGCGCACGCTCAAGAGTTCAATCAGATTCAGCATTGCTGAATTTGTACAGTGATCTGGGCATGTGCAGCTCCCTGTACAAGGGCATATAGGCAGGTAAGTAGTTTTAATGCAGAAGAGACAAAGCATGTCTTTTCTGCATTAAAAATCCTGACTGTCCGCCCATTTTAATTACTTAGCATAAAGTTCCACTTTAAAGAGTATGTAAACAAAACATTTCATATTCCTTATAGCTGCCTGCTGTACCATGTACTTGTATGAAAAAGTATTCAATTCTTTTTGTATTGCTTCCTTTGTGTGAAATCCCTGGTGTTCTTGTCAGTCCCTCTGCTTACCTATTAAAAAACTGACCACACTAGGCAGGAGAACACACAGTGGTCAGTTCTCTGGCTGTGTTCTCTAGACTTGAGGCTGATTTCAGCTTGAAATACAACTGTACAGTACTTCACAAATGTACCTGCTTACAGTGTGTATCCACTTTTGCAGCCAAATTTGGATAACACCTAACTTTATATTTCTTACATGTCCCCATTCACATAGCATAACTTAAAACAATATGTAAAAATTGCAGCTTACATTTTTAGATGCTCTGTTACCTTCCAGCAAGGAAAAATCCTAGGGAGTTTTCTTTGTTTATAGGCAGCTGTGTTTTTGCCATAATTAGCCCTGCCTGTACTGTGCAGACAGATCTTCATTATTTAGTGTAAATGTGAACAACATCAGTCCTAACAAAGATTTAAAGGTTAGAGCCTAGGCTTCTTGCATTGCATGTTAAGTAGCACAGACTTGGGACAGGCTCATTCTAAAATTGTTCAAAAGACCTTGCAGTCAGCCATTACACCTCCTCTGGGGAATACAAGGTTAGAAATATTTAAAAAAAAATAATTTTAGGAACACATAACAAACATATAATGTGGTGTTCTCAAATTCGACTGCAAAAGTAGAAGTACCCTTTAAAGTTGAGCTCCAGGCAGATAAAAAGGACACAAATTAAAGTGTTTCTAAACCCAGGACCCTGCATTCATAATATGTGGTCTTCCACAGTACACAGAACATGGAAATGCAATTATTTTGGTAAATATAAACTGCTAAATGCCTTTTCTCATCAGCAGTATATAGCAGTCTTGTGACTTCTATCACTGTCTGCACTGGTTAAAGAAGGAGTTTTCATTCCTATGTCCATTTCAGTCCTATGAAGCTGCATGACCCCTGACCCTCTGTCTGGACAGTGCTGATTGGCCTTGTGCTGATGTACCCTCCCAAAGAAAAAAAAACTCTCTAGCCATACAAATTAAACTGAGCATGTGCAGACTGTCTTCTAGAGCTCTCTACTATCAGCAGGTGGATTGGGGACAATAAAAGAAGGGAATGATCAGAGAAGACAGGATCACACTGCTTTTTTACACAATGAGGAGGATTAACCCCTTAGGTTCTACAGTGAGTATAACAAGCTTGCTTTATTGTACAGTCAGGTCCATAAATATTGGGACATGGACACAATTCTAACATTTTTGGCTCTATACACCACCACAATGGATTTGAAATGAAACGAACAAGATGTGCTTTAACTGCAGACTGTCAGCTTTAATTTGAGGGTATTTACATCCAAATCAAGTGAACGGTGTAGGAGGATTACAACAGTTTGCATATGTGCCTCCCACTTGTTAAGGGACCAAAAGTAATGTGACAGAATAATAATCATACATCAAACTTTCACTTTTTAATACTTGGTTGCAAATCCTTTGCAGTCAATGACAGCCTGAAGTGTGGAACGCATAGACATCACCAGACGCTGGGTTTCAACCCTGGCGATGCTCTGCCAGGCCTCTACTGCAACTGTCTTCAGTTCCTGCTTGTTCTTGGGGCATTTTCCCTTCAGTTTGTCTTCAGCAAGTGAAATGCATGCTCAATCGGATTCAGGTCAGGTGATTGACTTGGCCATTGCATAACATTCCACTTCTTTCCATTAAAAAACTCTTTGGTTGCTTTTGCAGTATGCTTTGGGTCATTGTCCATCTGCACTGTGAAGCGGCGTCCAATGAGTTCTGAAGCATTTGGCTGAATATGAGCAGATAATATTCCCGAAACACTTCACAATTCATCCGGCTGCTTTTGTCAGCAGTCACATCATCAATAAATACAAGAGAAGCAGTTCCATTGGCAGCCATACATGCCCACGCCATGACACTACCACCACCATGCTTCACTGATGAGGTGGTATGCTTAGGATCATGAGCAGTTCCTTTCCTTCTCCATACTCTTCTCTTCCCATCACTCTGGTACAAGTTGATCTTGGTCTCATCTGTCCATAGGATGTTGTTCCAGAACTGTGAAGGCTTTTTTACATGTCGTTTGGCAAACTCTAATCTGGCCTTCCTGTTTTTGAGGCTCACCAATGGTTTCCATCTTGTGGTGAACCCTCTGTATTCACTCTGGTGAAGTCTTCTCTTGATTGGTGACTTTGACACACATACACCTACCTCCTGGAGAGTGTTCTTGATCTGGCCAACTATTGTGAAGGGTGTTTTCTTCACCAGGGAAAGAATTCTTTGGTCATCCACCACAGTTGTTTTCCGTGGTCTTCCGGGTCTTTTGGTGTTGCTGAGCTCACTGGTGCGTTCCTTCTTTTTAAGGATGTTCCAAACAGTTGTTTTGGCCACGCCTAATGTTTTTACTATCTCTCTGATGGGTTTGTTTTGTTTTTTTCAGCCTAATGATGGCGTGCTTCACTGATAGTGACAGCTCTTTGGATCTCATCTTGAGAGTTGACAGCAACAGATTCCAAATGCAAATAGCACACTTGAAATGAACTCTGGACCTTTTATCTGCTCATTGTAATTGGGATAATGAGGGAATAACAC